AAGAGTTGAGAAAATAGAAGCAGATCTCAAGCCACAGCGGCCCCAGCGAACCCAGCCTTCGGATCCAGTAGCGCCTGAGGTTGCGGGGCGTAGCTTCTTTTTTCTCGCAGGACTGTAACCGGTTAATTATAGACCTCCCTACTGCGAGTCGAAGACTTCTGGAGGACTCTGAAACAAATCCCGAACCGTAGCTCTTGGCCTGAGCGGCCTACCCCTGTTACAGCATGTTACAGGGAGGGCTCGAAGCTGCACGGCCTCCGCAAGCTCGTGCTTCCGGGGGTCGAAGACAAGCTTACTCATCCTCTATCCATGAACCCATTTCCAGCTCTGACTCAGGGAACCTACGTCCAGCGACATTCCCTACAATCGCTGCTAGAATGGTACTCTGCATGTTACTTTCTCAGGCTGAGGGGCATCAGCCTGGTTATCAGTGTCTAACAGAATGTCTGCATATCAACTCTGCAAGAAGCACTGTGCAAGAAGCACGCACAGCCTCACAAACAGCCTTGTGCCATCAAGTAGCATAGCGGATGGGAGTGAAGAATCCGCTGATGAGCACCATGAAATGCATCGCGGTGGTCCAGATCTTGGTTCTAGGAGTCTGAGGGACTGAAGGGGAAGCGATCGTGAAACTTGGACTCGACACTGCTACCGGAGCTCTTCGTTCAAGAAGCAGGAACAGAAGAATGACACGACACACCAGCGGAGTGCAGGGGCCCAACAGAGCACACGCGAATTAAGGTTGAGTAGCTGGGGCTTTCAATCCCGAACCCAAAAGCGCGACCTGCTAGGTGTCCAAATCTCATGAAGCCTCGAACCATTTCCCAGTTCATGCCAGCAATCAGGATCAGGCGGTAGAACACTATACCCGTGGAAGGGAGTCGCTGTAAGGCCACTAGAAGCTGGGACATTGATGCAGGGTTTGTAGAGGCACGTGGCCAGATGTCGGTCGATCTGGGACTACTTCCGGTGGCCTCATCTCAACTGGAAACAACACACTGTGTAGATGGAAGTTACGGAATCATAATATGGAGTGTCGAAGCATGTATCCACCTCCACACACACACACACCAAACCAGTAGTCCCGAAGGCTCCTGAGCCCTGAAGCCTTAGCCAACGCCGAAGACCTTGCAGGGGGCAAGGGACCTGCACGCATCGCCATCGCGGCACAAACCTCAGCAAAAGGGGTTTCATAGTCAAAGTCTCAGGCAGCAGCCTGCACCACCAACACAGGAAAGTCTTGTCAGACAAGCCCAAGAAACAGCCACTTGTCTCTTGCCATCTGCTCTGCGCCGTCGACATCAACTGAGATGGAACAGTGTAGCACCGGGGTTCGAGGACGCAGGTCACAATAAAGGAGGGTGCGGCAGAGCCGTCGAGAGGTCGAGTCTGAAACATCTAGATCTAAACAGTCGAAACAACTTGTGGCCAGACGTAGCAAGAAAGCACGTGTCATTCTTCAGAAGTGCGACGAGTTTGGAACATTCCCAACACAAAACACGCACGGAGAGAGAGCGAAAGCGAGAGGGAGAGACCTTTAAATGCCCCGAAGGATCATGTGATATGATATCACCCTTCGCAACTGTTTAAAACCCGGCATGTCTTCAATAGTATCGGAATCAGAGTGCACGCAATGAAGCACGAATGTGAGATTTTAAGAAGCTCCGATCTCCGCTTAACACTCAAAACACATGCCATGGTCGAGCGGCGGAAAGTCTGCGTACTGCTCTGCCCCTGTCAGGGTTTGGCTTTGCGATGCAGGCAAAAGGAGAGTCCTACAACATGCAGCCCCGCCAGCTGACACTCTCTCAACCATGGCCGGACCAACATTTACAGCCCCTCTTCTCAGAGGCTGCTAGGCGAGACCGCTAGAGGAGGCTTCTGGCTGTCGCTTTCAAACGGAAAGCTCCGGAAGAATCCCCCAAAAGCCCCTTCACTCCGTGCAACTGCGTTTGGAAAGCCCGTCCCGTTGCCCTTAGTGGCCGGAGGGGCTTGCGAAAGGCCAAGGCTTGAGGACTTTCTGGGCACAGGGAGCCCCAACCAGACCAAAAACAGTACGGGTACAAACTGCTAGGGTTGCACTGTAGCTTCTGCTTTGCTTTGCGGATTCTGCATAGATCAACAATGCTCGGGGAAACTTGAATCGCGGCGAGCTGGAACTGGGTGCCCCACAAAGGATCGCTCTACCCTCAACCTCATGAACTGAATCCAAGACCCTGTCATGTTAGATTATTTAAGGCATCCTGCATAGCCACACTGGGGCCCTGTGTTTCAATCAGGCTACGCACGCAGAAGTCTCAGGTGCAAGCATCAAGCTTCCATGCAGCCACACATCGCAGTGTATTCAATTTACGAGAATGCTTGCTAGGGTTTCGGATTCTGCTTTGCCCTCGAACAGGACTTGGAGTTCTTCCTAGGCGATTTACTTCGCGCTTCCGGAACCAACTATAGTAACTATAGCTCTCCACCCACAGTCTCTGATGCAACTCGCTACTCACAGAGAAACAAGTGAGAGGACACTGTCCGAGTGTCGAATCTAAACATGAACCCGGAACGCTTAAAACCAGCCGTGGAGCTGTAAGCTCCAATAGCTCTTGACAGGGGTGTGCTCGGTCCAGATTCGATCGCCGGCGAAGGAGTCGCCAGCTTCTGGACGTGACAGGGCCATGGGGGAGGTCATGGGTCTTAGCTCACCCTCCCCGGCAGCTCGAAGCAGCATCAACGGGTGCTGTGGGCTGTTGGGTCGACTATCGGAAATCTTGCAGTAGGGCTGCCGGATGGAGGCCCGCGCATCATGCTCTCAATGTGGCCTGAGAGCGCACAGCACATCATGCAAATAGCTCAAGTAGGCCAGACAGATCCAGACAGTGTTGAGCATGCGAGCCAAAAGATCGTGAGCCTGACCGCGTTGAACCTTTTCAGCGACTTAAGGTCTGTGGGGGCTTCACGAGTCGCAGATGTTGGGATGTCCGAGATCTGCAGGGTCTCCAGCCCCTCAGCCCTCACAGCTCCAAACGTCCTTTGCCAAGGCTCTCTCGGCAATCGAAGGTCTCGACCTGCCCGGGCTGCGCTGAGTCTCTAGAGCAAAGCTCCCCTGGATGGAACCTGCTTCCATAGCTCATTCCCGAGACAGCGCAAGGACTTCCCGGCTATCTTGTCGTACACTAAACCCTCGGAGTATGCTTCTACAGAACTAACTCAAGACCTGATGAAGACAAGAGTCGAACTGACGACGCTCTGCCGATATCTGCCAACCCTTCGCAGGAAAGCAGCAGTGGGTCAGGGCCGTCAAGGGCTTCAGATTATAGTTTCCCACATACTGGCACAAAGGCGAGATTCTGAATGTACTCTCGCGAATGTGCACTTGTAGCTTCACTTTGCATGTCAGACTCTGGCAACCATTAACATCATTAAACGCAAGATCAAGCACACATAGTCCCAACAGACACACACACACACACATGGACATTAAAGAAGCACGAACTTCTCAAAGCTTTAATCTGATAGCCACGCACCTAGATGCCGGGTGCTCACCATGCCACACTGTTTGGATTTTGCGGGTGAAGACTTTTGAAGAATCGCTCGTCCGCGAGCCATAGACTTAAGCTACGCAGCCTTGTTGCTGCGACTATGACCAAGAGCTTTGATGCATCAACACAGCATGAGTATGGTCAAACTTGCTGTGTCGGCATGTCTTGAGCATTCAAGAGTTGGTGGCTTTTTCGGGAGTCACACGAGTATCTTAAGTTGCTGCCTGGAAATCTGCAAACAATTCCTTCCAACTCCACAACCTGAGACACACGTATACTTCCCATCGCAGGACGGCTCCGAGACTTTCAAATTCACTCCAAAATTCTCAACCTCGGAACGACTCCAGTCCCGTAACCGTGGGCTGCCGAAGGCACGGTGAGTGCTGGGGCGATTTTCCATACTGGCTGTCCTGGGTGCTGCTGTCCAGACTCATTCGAGCCTCGCACGAGGCATGAGCCTTGCATAAACAACTGGCCTGGAGCTGAGATCAGCCTTTTTTTTGGCAATCCTGGCAGCCCTGATCAGCCGACCCTGTTTGCGCTGCCAAGAAGCTGGCGTCTCATTCATCTCTGGTGGCGAATGCTCTTTCCGCTCGTTGGCAACCACATCTGGGCACATCTCTCGTACAAAGGTAAACACTCGCGGAGCATTCAAACGTCAAGCCCAAGGGCAAGCTCTATAGACTAAGCGATCCAGAGAAATCATCCTGAATCATGTCACAAACACCACTGCATCTGCTGGTATCTCATCAGGGAATTGCTGACAAACAACGTGCTGCTGCCAACATTAGTTGCGGCAGCAAAGTCACAGCAAGCTACGGATAGGTGGACTGAGTTTCAGACTTTCAAGTCTGCGGCGGCTGACAGAACACCAATGCCAAACTGATTCAAATCTGATGAACACTGTCGAACCGGGGGTGGTCAACCCTTGGCACTCCAGCCCGCCGAAACCGTGCTAAGAATTCATTCGCAAAGTTCTGCCATGGTGCCCCTCTTGGAAAGGCCCGGCATTTGATCGGGGGACGGCATGCGCTCCAGCTACGCAGCAACTGAACTGTTGACCAGGCTGATCAGTCTGGGCTTGAGCTTCGCTGAAGTTGGCCTAAAGAGGTGCTGGGATGCTCTCTGCATCTTCATGGATGTGCCTCCGGCAGCGAGTTTGATGTGAAAACATCGCGGCAGGCAGTGTACCTTGGCCCTCAAGACAGACCTTGCCAACCTCGGAAAACTCTATCTTCGGGGTCCAGGCAGATCCATATCGCTGGGTGATTGGATTTACGATGTGAGGTCTCGCAATCACTCTGCCAGGGAGTGAGAAACGACAAGAACCAGTGCCTCTTAGCTCCAACCCGTCCCGATCCGGAGTGTTTGGCTCGGGGTGCTACATAGACTTGACGGCAATGTGAAGCCAGAAGCTGCATCTGAGCAGGCATCAAGAACTTGTGCTTTCCGGTTTAGGTCCAAGGAGGCCTGGCGGAAGAGGGCTGTCCTGATCTGATCGCGAACCTGCCGAACCTGCGAGACATCCAGTTCATTGGTCCGGTGCAGTTTGGAGTTGACGAAGGGCATGCAAAACAGCAGCATTGCTTGCGACGTTGGCTGGGGTCTTGGTTTGGAACGTGCACCGGAGCAATGCGCACCATACTTGCATAACCAACATGCAGCCCCGTGTCATAACAGTACATGAACACACACTGTCATGTGAAAAGTCCGAAGGACGATGCGTGCCTCCGAGGATGTGAAATTTATGTACTTTCGTTTGCTATGCTACTGTTGCTAGCTGCACACAAGCCGCTTGTTCAGGATGATTTCCATTCCTGTTGATGGGGATGCTGAGAAGGATGGCCACCATTATGACATGGATGAAGCTGCACAAGGCGATGGCGATGTTGACGATGAGGATGACGAAAAGCACGATCTTGATGGAGCTTCTATTCATGATGATGGTGATGATGATGATGATGATGATGGTTTATGTCGGGTTGAGCAGTGGTAGTCCACGACCGGCATGCAGCAGCAACTATGGTGGCGCAGCGGCAGTGGAACTCCACCAGTGGTTCATGGCCATGGGCTTGTTAGTGGCTGCAGGGGTGCAGGAGCAGGCATAGGCTCAGGGCCGAGGTGTTACGGCGTGTTGCTGATGTAGGAAAGCCGCAAACCCTATGGCCTAGAGACCTGGTGAAACCCCAAACCTTCGGGGTCTAGAATGTCAGGACTGAAGTCCTTCCGAAACAAGATGATAAAAAGAGATGATGATGGCGATGGTGGTGATGATGATGATGCCAAAGCCGCCCACCGCCGCTACCCACCCACCCCCCTTGACCCGAACTCCCCAAGGCCGGAAACTTGAAGTCTGAATACACGAGAAACACTAGAAAGAAAACCACACGCTAGCAAAAGCATGAACAACCCCATCACACACCATTACATTGCACCCGATGCTGCAGCACAACTGCTCGCCTTGCCAGGATAAAGGCCTACGGTGGGAAAGCTAGCCATGTACCTGCGAGCGCCAAGCGGATCTTGCATGAACATAAACATTCTACATGCGCTTGTTTTTGATCTGTGCGGCCCTACATCTCGTGCAACTGCGTTTGTCGACTTGCTGGACTCAGGATTTCCGAAAAAAACGATGATCTTAAAACAGCAAAGCTTCGACAAATCAATTTACCGTTTTCCGCCGCACTGCTGTTCGTGGTGGCGATTTCTGTTGTCGCTTGGTGCTTGGGATCTCAAGTTTAATACGGCAATGCAAAGGTACCTACACGATATCGACGCACTGACCACACTTGCCGAACTAACCCTTGCACAACGGGAAAGCTCAATCCGACAAGGGAGGACACGCAGGCTGCAAGTCTTGATCCTCGAGGACAACCGTTGGACATTGCAAGCGATCCTGGGTTCGTTGAAGTTCGTTGATTGTTTGTTGGGCAAAGGGTTCTAAAGCGAGTGGTTGCCTGTTTGAAACTCTCGGGCTTTCGCTAAAGGTCGAAACTGCCCCGAGTTTGGAGAAGGACGAATGTACCGGCACTGGACAGCGTCCAGGGCTGAGAGGGACCCCGGAGAGCCCAGTCAACCGAAAGGTCCGAGTCCATCCATTCCTTGTGATCGAAGCACGCGAGAAAAGGAGAACTGATCCATTGCGAGTCCGAACCCGTCAAAGCCTCACACATCACGCATGCCTCACAAGCCTGACCATGCCTTGCTTGAAAATACACAAAACCAGCTCCTAGGTGCAGTTCAAGCAATCGGGAATGGTGACATGCCTGGCTACGGTTTACGCGCCGACATGAAGAATCGCCGGCCACACCAATCGCCCAAGTTGCTCTAACCCAACATAACCCAACATAAAACACAAGCGGAATGACGCGTCAGTTCCGTCGCCAGCCGAGCAGCGAACTCGCTTTTAATCCACTCTGGTGATCGGAAGGCCGGAAACTGGACAGGCGGCTTTTTGGGGAATTCTAGATATGACAAGTTCAGCCAAGGAGAAATTGCAGCTATCCTAAACAAGCCACCTTCCCCGTTATCTGTCGCGAAACAACACAAAGAACGTCTGTCAATCGATGGATCCTTGATATCTGGCCACGAATATCAAAAGTATTCGAACAAAAGCTCGTCCTGCCCAACCCGTCCAACCATTCAAAATAGACTCGCTCGAACAAGAGTACGCAAAGCTTCTATTCACCGATCCGACCTTCCCGGTGACAGCGGTTGTCTTCATGTCAGGGTGAATGTGGCATCAAAGAAAACTAATCCATGTGATGGTCGGCAGTATACTTCAATGAGCACCGACCCAGTGCAAATTCATCCAAATTCTCCTCGACTTGCACCATTGAACAAATCTGCACAGCTCTCAAGACGGAGTGTTTGAACCAGCGCCTCGACACTTTCGTCGCCCAAGGTGTCAATCTCAGCCATGGCGCAACGTCGACCGGCAAATGCGAACCTTTTGAAGACTGTGGCTCCACCATAGTACTTACCCTTACTTTACATATCTTTGCGACTCTGTGTGGCTAGGTTTTCACTAAGTTACGGCATCGACCAGCCAAAGATAGCATCAGTCAAAAGCACTGAAACTTACTACATGCATGGTGCCTGCAAGCAACAACTCTGCAGGTCCAAGCTCGGTAACATGAATTTATCAATAACATAAACACTGGCATAGTACTTCCAGCTTTGCAGCTGACTAAAAAGTACACGTACACGGCCTTTTGCGACTGTCGTGCCACTCAGGTAGTTTACATCCACTTCCTTTACATCCTCTTCCTGCTGCTTTGAGGGCTTTGGGTCGTTCTCAGCTGCTCAAAAATAGCGGATGAACGCAAATTGCTGGTGCTGGGGAGCCACCAGCCAAAGCCGGATTCCAGTGTCGAAAGCGGCTTCAAAAGTAGAACCGAAGAGTGTTCTTTGCAGTGTTGGTGTGTCTATTTAGCTCTTTCACTGCATACTCTCAAGTAGTGATATCCCTTTGCCCGCTCCAAAGAGTCGTCCCCATTGCTTTGCAGCTGTGCGTAACGTCTTGATCACGACCTGCGAACTTCGTTAACTGATCCATAAGAACTTTCCTTCCCGAGAATGTCCGGGCAAGTGTAAACAGGCAGGTTGTTGTTTACCGGCTCTGGTTCTCCCTCTCTACCTACTAATTCTCTGTTTTTTTGCCGCCGAAGGGCACAGCTGGCCTGTATCCCGTTTGAACTCCTGATCTTTCCTGTTACTCCAAAAACAACGCTCTGGAAATAGGAAGACTGAAGCTTTACATCGGGAATTAAAGCCTTGAGCCAGACAAAACCAAAGAGTTTATTTTTGTTTAAGAATACCAGTTTCACAAGATGCTTCAAGAATTTTTTGCTGTTGTTGAACATGTCTCTGATGTCAAGACTGTCATGACTGAATACTGATGTTAACATATCACTGCAGACAACATCAACACTGCTGCTACACAAGCGTCGCGTGCAACGTTTTGCTTCATTGGTGACTTGGGGAAATCATTCAAAGCAGTCCGGTGCTTCAGCAAACTGTACAAACCACGACGCAGCAAGGAGCGATATGCTACGCTTGCACAGCCTACGGCCGGAGCTCAAGGAGTTCGACAAGCTGTCGAATGGCTTTAACTGGTAATGCAATACCCACTACGCAGCAAGGAGCGATATGCTACACGTGCACCGCCTACGGCATTCGGAACTCAAGGAGTCCGACAAGCTGTCGAGTGGCTTTAAGCTGGTAATGCAACACGCCGAGTGGCTTTAAGCCGGTAATGCAATACCCGCGCAGCCTACGGCTTTCGGAGCTCAAGGAGTTCGACAAGCTGTCGAGTGGCTGTAAGCTGGCAACGCAAACGACATTCGAGCTCAAGGTGCATTCCGCGATGCACACAGAGCTGAGCGGGCGGCAAAATTTGCAATGCAATGCAAGCAAATTCAAGCAGTCTGAGTAACTGTACAAACCACGTCACTTGCACAGCTCTGTGGCTCACACAAAACAAGGAGAAAGCCACACTAAAAGCGCTTTAGGGGTCAGGATTGAAAACACAAAAAAAAGAAACCACACGCAACAGACAACAAGAACATCACAATTTGAAGGAAGCTGTACAAACAATTTTCCACATGCAGTGGTACGGAATTTTTGCNNGATCCTGGCCTCTGAAATGCAAAACTACTGTGAAACCCTTGCTAAACACTGGAAGAAACAGCCAAAAAGAAGAAGATTTTGCCCGCCACACGACATCGCATTTGGAGGCAACAAACGATGGAAAGAAGATGAATGCGCAGACGAGAGATGAAAAAGCGGAAAGCGAACTTAAAGAGATGCGAGGAGCCGCAGAAGACGACGCCGGAATGTTGTGAGAAAAGGAAGAAGCAAAAGATCCGAAAAGAGCAGGAAGAAGCAAAAGACCTGGAAGACGGAGCGAGCAGGAAAAGGTTGAAGCAGACCTAGCCGATCAGATGAGCGTGGCCGACGTGGTGAAGAGCATTTTCAAGATGGATGACCGCTATATGGAGATGATGAGCCAGAGCGGAAAGATGCCGTAAAGGAAGTGCTCAGTGAGCTCGAAAGGCCGATTGATCAGTGGTCCGAGTCGTATGGGTCAAATTTGGAGAAGATGTGTGCCGACTTCAAGAGTTGGTCTGGTGAATTGGAGGACGTAGTGCATAAAACCACGACGAAATCGAGCAAAAGAGTGCTAAAATCGACTACGCCCAGAATAAAATCGATGAGGCATTGGAAATGAAAGCAGCAAGCTGAAGCTGAGATTGACTGGATGCCACATATAATCATATAAGTATCTGACTGCATCTGGAACTGCTTTTTTGATCCGCGTCCAGATTTGTGGTTCCACATGTTGCAAGAGGTTGTTAGCCAATCGAAAGCGTATCGAGCGATGAGATGCTGAGAAAGCGACTGTTCGCCGCTCGGCGACACCTGCAAGATCCCGCCAAGTTGACCTCCGAAAGGACGGAAAAGCGCACCGAAACCAGTTCTACGGTTTCGAATCACACACCTACCAGAAGTTTTTGCTTTGTCAAGTGTACATCGATGAGGCAAACAAGGCGATCACTGGAGCGTTGAATCCGGACCCGAAATGGAGTTCCGAGCCTGTGCTGAAAGGCTTTTGGCACAAGGTGTGGTGGTACGTCCGCCCAGAGAGCCCGCTCCCACACGAGAGCCCATCACCTTAGCGTGTCAGTTGTGCCAGCTCCTTCACAGTTTTCAGAACTGTTCCCAGCTTGTGCAATCTTCACAGTGTATTTTCGGAACTTCAGAAATTTCTTGCTGCAGAGCCATATCGGAAGCCATGGCTCCCCACCAGACGAAGCAAGAGTCGGCTCTCTCAACGGTCCAGCAGTGAAGCAAGGGTCGCAGCCGGATGCGGAGCAGTTTGCAGAGTTTCTCAAATGGAAGGAACAACAGGAGAAAGCCAAGGAAGGAGAATCCGGAGCACAAGAACCCCGGCAGCCCGAAGAAGGCAAAGATGGATGATTCTGAACTAGAGCTTTCAAGCTCCAGCTAGCTGAGTTGTCTCTACAATGGGATGAGAGGAACCAGAGCTGCGGGACAAGCTGCGGCTTAGCGAGCAAGAAGCTCGAGCAGATTTTCTGGCCGTGCACAGGCGCACAGATCTTACAGCATATGATCCGAGCTACCGCCTTTCACGACCAAGCGCGCTCTCGACAACGGGGGGCCAGGCGGGGCCAGGCGGGTCAGGGAGTCAGGCAGGGGCTCCAGCCATGCAAAGGCCAGAAAGGCCTAGCACTTCTTGTGGGGCGCCAACCTGGGAGAGTCTGATGTTTGTGCGCTACCACCTGCTGACCTCTTCGTCGGCGGTGGTCCGCGTCGAGTTCCTCAGCGAGATCAAGGCGCAGCAGTTTTTGAACTACATGAGAAACTCCAAGAAGTATTGGAAAACTCCAGACAACGCTGACACCCGCCTAGGGCGGAACAAGATGTTCCCACAGATGACAGGCTGTCGATGCAGCATTCCACGCCCTCCTCGACAT